TCAAGGATATTATACTGGGACAGCCCTTGGAACCTGAATTTGCCCTGTGCCTCCTGGGCAGAACTGAGAGCTGATGCAGCATAGGCAGGGTCTGTGTCTGAGCCAGAATGCCCAGCACAGCTTCAGGAAAAGAGCTACTTCCATGTGCCTTTCCACAGCCATTTTCTGTCCTTATTCACACTAGGCTGGGACCCACTGGCCAATGCTGGGAGAAAAGACAAGAGCATCTGAGATGACCAATCAGGTCCCTCCTCCTGAATTCTGTAGTGTACATGGGAGGAAGGAGCTAGTAAGGTGACACTGTCCCAACTTCTTTGTCCTCTGTCTCCCCAGAGACTGAACAGGCTCCAGTCCCCAGTATTTGGGCAAGGAGATACCCCAAACCTCAGAATTAGGAATGATGAATCTGAACATCCAGGAAGAATTCTGAGACTGGGAAGTTCACCCCAGTATCTGGCCTGGATCCCTCCTTGCTAAGGGTGCTTACAGAGGCAAGGGGGTTCTAGAAGAGTGGATGGTCATTGATTGATCTGTTGAGAAGATCTCAAGACATGAAACCTTCTAAAGTTGTCTCACTCATACCCACAACTTGTCACGGGGACTGTCATCTGCCCCCCACAAGATTTTGGTGCCACCCTATCCTAAGAAGGTGACTTTTAAGAGCCACATCAATGATAACCCAAGATACATGCCTCCATGGCTTACAGGTAAGGCAGGTAACACACTGTCTTTGGCCTGGTGCTATCCCTGGCCTCAGAAATGATCATTGGAATCAGGGACACTCCCTTTCCAGAGGAGAGAGGATGTGATATTAAATCTACCCCAGACATTGCATTCTGTGAACCAGAGTTCCCTCTTGAACCACATGAGAAGATCCATCTGACTGACTGAGTTCCAAAAAGGGCTGACCTCCCTACCCCACGAACGGTTCCTCTAAGAACGGCTGAAGAGGAAAGGGATGAGGTAGAGAGACAAAGTCTCGTTTTGTTTGTTTTGGGTGTTTTTTTGTTTGCTTGCTTGTTTTGTTTTTTGGGCAATGAGAGCCCTTCACTTTGCATAATATAACAGCTCCATTTATGCCCTAGAGTGACAGATGCTGCTTAGCCTGGAGCCCACAAGGACTTGAACAGCATTGAAGCCAGAGAAGGGATGCATGATACAGGGGAGTGACTGTTGGGCTGGGTCTGAAATGAGAAAGGATGAGAAGGGGCTTTGGATGGGTCTCTACCTGACTCAGATCAGCCCCTCTCCTCTTTAATGATTCCCTGGGCACAGCTTTTTGACCAATAGTTCCCACATGGCTTAGCTGAGGCCAGAGGAGTCAGTCCTTTCCCTTCCTTATGTGATCTCAGAGGCCCTGGAGGTGGGCCTGGAATAAAGAGAATGAGAGAGGAGTCAATCAGGAGGCCCGAAAGCCTGACTGTCCAAGTCTGCCCCTCCTATGACTTGCCATGAGCCAACTCCTGACCTCCTCCAAATCTGCAAGGCTTCATTGTGGAAAGGGTCCTCTTTCTGGGGACATCTCTGTGACCCCTGCCTCCTCCAGACATCTTCCCTTGCTAGCCATAGCAGGTAAGCTCCAGGACAGGAATGCAACCATTGGCCCACTCTGCAGAGGTTAACTCTAGCTCCTACCCCTGTTGGGGAAGATTGACCTTGGGGAGAGGTCTTCAGGCTGTTAAATGCCTCCCAGGAGGAAAGCAGACTTGAGACCTGGGAGTCTGGCTGCCAGTTGCCTCCTAGAGGATGAGGAACCTGGTGTACTTGGCTCATGGGCTGACTTGAAAGAGCCTGGCATGGTGGGGGTTGCCTGGTGTTCTCAAGATAGGCCCAACCACACACCTGGCAGCTGACCTCAAGGACACCTAGTCTGAACCTGTCTTCCCACCTCTCTTTAGGTTCTCCAGGAGAGCCATCAACAGATCATAGTGGGCCACTTTGAAGGGTAGCAGGACCTTTTGTCAGCCATTTCCCATCTAAAGAACTGTCCTTCATTTAGCCTGTCGAAGCCTGCTTGAATGCCTCCCTCCCTGAGTTTCTGGGAACTTTGTTTTGGCCCTACTCATCCTGCTAAGAACTCTTTAGGACTCAGAACACACTGAATTAGGACCCTTCCCTTTGTTTTGCTATCCTGGGTGGTGAGCTATCCTGGGATTGTCTCTCCGAATAAGCACAGGCCCCCTATGGGGTTTGCTCTGAAGTTCTAAAAGGACTGGGAGGCCCAAAGGACTCTGGGGCAAATGGGGGAGAGAGGTTCAGATGGGACTAGAAGACAGCAGAGGCAGCTGGAAGCTAGCAGTCAGGGAAGGACAGGACTGAGATGGTGAAGGATCACCAGAGAGATGGCTCAGTCAGTAATGTGCTAGCCATGCAAGTATTAGGACCTGAGTTCAGATCAATCCCCAGTACCCATGTAAAAAGCCATGCTGCCTGTAACCCCGGGCTTGAGGTGCAGACAGAAGGATGCCTGGGCCTTGTTGGCCAGCTGTCTAGCCAAATCTTTTCTGAGAGATCCAGTCTCAGAAGAGATGGAGAGAGAAATAGGAAGGTATCTACAGTCAACTTCTAGCCTCCATATACATGTGCATACTCTTACATGCACACACACATCAGGGTGGCAAGGGAAGGAATGGGTGTAGTGGGGCATGCAAACTGAAACAACACGAAACACATGCCTCTCTGTGTGCATGTTTGTGGGTGTGTGTGTGGAGGTGGGGTTGCTGTGGGTGTGTGGGATGGATGTGAGTGTGTGTGTGTTCCCCAGCCTCCATCCATGTCTGGTGATTTTCCACTTCTCCAACCCCCAGCAGTAGCCTACAGGAATCAGGCACCCGCATTTTCCCTTAGTCGTGACCTTGAATGGAAAAACAAAAAACAGAAGCTTCTCATTCCCTCCCACTCACAGCTGTGCTTGGACTTGGCCCCTCACGCCATGTTGAGGTGAGACCTTCAGGTAATGCAGGCTTAGAGGCCTGGAGTTTGTCAGACACACTCCTCTTGTACCCTGGGGGAGGTGTAGGCCTTTTGGGGGGAACTACATTTTTGCACAGCTTGGAGCCCAAGGCAGCTGCTCCCCTCCTCTGCACCCAACCCCAGTCCCATCCTGCTGAGACTAAACTAGGTCTGAGCCCTGAGTAAATAGGCACCAGTGTCTTTGGCTTTGATTGCGGCTGCCAGGCTGTTTAGCAAAGGCTGCCCTTTGGAGATGGGGAGGGAGGAGTCTTAAACCTTGGAGAAGGATGAAAGGGATGCAGATCTTAAAGCTACGGGGACCTGAGGTTGTGCTGGGAGACCTGGGCTCCCTCAGAACATGGGGACCTAGAGCTCCACCAGGCACCAAGATCACAATGCCAGATTGGGACTGGGAGTCAGGAGTCAGCTGGCCCCCTGTTTCCACTCTGGAAGGAGACAGAACATTCTCCCCACCCCCAACTCCAGTTCTAGATTCTCATCGAGGCCCAAAGGAGTCAGCCAGCTGTGCCAGGAAAAGCCATTACCCTTACAGACTCCCCCACCTGCTAATAGCTTCCTTCTCCACCCCCTACCTTCTCCCCTGGGCCTCCCCCTCTTCCCTTCATCTCAGCCCCCTACCCTGACCACCTCTTGGCTAGGCTAGGGAGACTTAACTCTTTCTGGTCCTAAGGGGAAGCTCTAACTTCCTCCATCCTTTAACTCTGACTTGTTCCGGCAAAACCCCTAGAGCTTGAATAGAGGAGGGGAGAAGATAGGCACTGCAGGAAGAGAAGGGCTGTCAAGGGGCAGGCGTGAGTTCCGATCTCAGCCCTGTCACAGGCCAGCCCTGTCACCGGCGGCGTTCTCACACCCTTGGTTTTATGTTTTCCGTGCGCATACAGTCACTTGCAATCCCTAAGAGCCCCCAAGGATGAGCCTGTGTGGGGGCAGGACGGTGACATGTAGGAGGCCTGCTTTCCTTCCCGCGTGTCCTTAGTGAACCCACATCTCCATGGCTGCTGTGCTGTCTTCCCCTGCCTCTGTCAGAGGTGCAGAGCACCAGTGCGGGACTGAGGTGTCTCTGTGCACTTTCATCAGTGTGGTGAGCTGATGGCAAAGCCCGGGAGCCCTGGCTTTGCAGGTGCAGCCATTAAGACAGAGAACAGAAGAACAGAATGGCAGGAAGAGCTCATGTGGCACCCTTCAGTCAGCCATGATCACAGAGATAAAACAAAGGGCTCTCAGAGGGGGATGCACCAGATCTCCCCTGCTGGGTGTTTGGTATAGCTCCCCTCCTACAGACTGGGGCAGGGACTGCTCATCCCTGATCAAAGGATATTAACACAAGGATATTAACCCTTTGACTGAGCTGTCTGATGGCCCTGGATTTCAGGGACACTCACCTCCCACACCTACAGGCTCTACTGAGCCACAAAAAACCCAGGCTCCTGCCTCACCTGCACAGCCTGCCCCTGAGAGCCTGTGTGGTCAAGGGCCGGGAAGCTCTCTTCTGCCCTGTGCCCAGCACCCAGTGTCTACCCCAGGGTTCTGGTCAGAGGGGATAAGGAGATAGTTTACCCCATGGAAAGGGTTCAGAGCTGAGGCATCGGGTCAGCCTGGGACTCTGACTCAGCCAAACACTTAGAGAATTGAAAGCCAGGAGAGGGCAGCTTAGGTGGGTGGCACAGGGCCAAGTGTTATCCCGAAGCATTCTACCATTGAACAGACCTCCAGAGAAGAGGGTCCAGATGGGGTCCCTGCATATAGGCACCTGCCAGGAGCCCTCTTTGGCAAGGGGCAGGAAAGCAGATAGGTATGACATCTGCCTTGCTTTCGCTTTGAGCTTCTGCACCTAAGAAAGGTGAGCAAGTGGCCAGCAAGATGGGTGATCATCAAACAAGACAGCTGAAGGGAGAAGCCTGGCATGCATTGAGCCCAGGCTGGCATGAGTGTGTATGGAGAGAGTTGCCCACTTTCTGTCCCCACGCAGTGGAGCCCAGGAAGAAAGCAGAAAGCCTCCCTCTAACTCAGCTGCCCTTCCTCTCCAGAAAAACCACATCAGAGGAAGCCACCACTCACAACCCCAAAGCAGCGACCTCTGTGACCTCAGAACCCACCAGAGCACCCATCTGGGGGGACACAGTGAAAGTGGAGATCCAGGCAGAGGATGCAGGACGAGAAGGTGAGGCTGGGAGCTGGGGATTCGCATGTGGGAAATACAGGGAACACAGCCCCACCGGCATGGAAGGCAAAAGCACAGGCTTGTCCCAACACAGCTGGAGATCACCTGAGCACCTCCCTGGGCTCCCATAAAAGCATTAGGAAAAAAATCCATAATCCCATCATGCTTCATCTCTACAGCCTGCTGGAAAAATGAGTTGTTCCACATAAATGAATTTTCCAGACAATATGAGCTTATCGTTTTTTTTTATGACAGTTGCTGTTATTTTCATGGTTGTTATTACTGCCATGTCCCACTGAAATGGCATGTTATAGTCTTGTGGCATGTCCCCACGCATCCATCATTAGAGTCACCAGCCTCTAAGAGGAGCTATGCTCCTTAGGAGAGAACACTGAGGCTTAGGGAATTTAAATAACACAAGTCCTGGGTAAGCATTGAGAGACTAGGCATCTTCTATCACTGGAGCTCCAGGTTCTAGCTGAGTTTTATTAATGCCTCTGGCTAGAATGGATCTTTATCCCTGGCCAGTCCTCCCTTGGTCTTGGACCAGGTGCTTGTATGCACATTTGCCAATGCACCCTGTGTGTTTTCTCAGTGTGAGACCATCTAATGTCTACCCTCAAGTGAGAGGTTGGGCTGGGCATACTGAAGTGACTGCTGATGCCAGAACTGCCTGAGAGCAGTGACTGACACTGGGCAACCTGGGAGCACCAGTACTTGGCAGCCTGGGAGCACTGGCACTGGGCAGCCTGGGAGCACTGGCACTGGACAGCCTGGGAGCACTGGCACTGGGCAGCCTGGGAGCACTGGCACTGGGCAGCCTGGGAGCACTGGCACTGGGCAGCCTGGGAGCACTGGCAGCATAGAGCAGCGGTCCCCTGCCATGTCCCTGGACTCAACTAGTCAGATCAGCATCCTCACTTCTTGCAGGTGGCTTTAAAAGAAAAGGTAGGCTTTACTGCCCTCCTTGTTCACCTCACAGACCAAAAGCTGACAATCAAGAGACTGTAGGAGGGAAAGAGGTAACACAGTGGGCTCCCACACTTGGGGAGAAGGCAAGAGAATATTTGCCTTCCCATAAAGGAAGAAGAGGAGCTGTGGGGATGGTTTGAGAAGACATGAAAGAGCAGAAAACAAACAAAACCCATCCTGAGGTTTCACCAGATTCACATGTGTGCTTGTACACCCACACCTTTGTGAGGGCTCATGTGTTTATGTGAATGCCTGCTGTTGCATAGTATTGCTGTGTATCCTCCCACCCCATGTGTTCTCTCTCTCTCTCTCTCTCTCTCTCTCTCTCTCTCTCTCTGTGTGTGTGTGTGTGTGTGTGTGTGTAAGTTAGTAGCAATGATAGGTGGACCCTGCTCCTCTGCCATGCACAAAGAGGGTGAAATGAGGAAGAGTGTGGTGAGAGGTCAGTAGTCTTGGGTCTTCTGTGTAGCTGGGGGGCAGGACTAATTGCAGGAGGGACAGGAGGGTGAAGAGGCCACATGAAACAGAGAATATTGGCAGGCACAGATTGAAGTTGCTTGTTGGATCCTAGTTGGAACTGGTCACTGTGGTGATATCTACAGAGAGGGTAGGAAATTGGGGGCTAGGGCAAGAGGCAAGAGGATTGGGGGGAGGTAGCTTGAGGACATGTTAATGAAAAGCAAAAGGGTCAAGGCCAAAGTAGGCAGGTAGCCAAAATGACTTCTTGGCCACACAAAAGGAGTGGTGGGAAGCAGAAGGGCTCAGTGCCCAAACAGGAAGCTAATGAAACATTTGACACAAGAAGACAAGATCATGGAAGGAATGGCTGTCTATTCACCCAGTTACAGTTCAGGGCCAGCTTCCTACAAAAAACAGGGTGTCCCAAGATAGGTAGATGCAGGATCTCATAAAATCCTGATCAGTTTGGTGGGTGCAGAGTCCATGGGGAGTGGGTATGCGTTTACAGCTTCCTTGGCTACTGTTGTCAGATCTTAGCTGGGAGTCCTGGGATCCCCCTGCAGAATCTTCTCAGGTCTGTCAGGGATGGGTATGTGGAGAGCTACAGATGGTTAACAAGGAGAAACTGGTGAGAGCTGGGACTGGGCATATAGGGTTCCTCATTCATAAGTCCTTCCTCAGAAATCTTAATAATTGGATAAGATTTCTCTTTTCTGTTAGGTTGTTTAAAGTATACAGAGAAGCCCAGAGTAGCTAAATGACTCCCTAGAGGCCAGAAAGCAAGCAAATTAGCATCTTGGTAGGAGAATCCAGACCTGCTGATTTTAAATCCTGGAGGTATTATACTTTCTTTTGGTAAATTGCAAGACCATCCAGTGCCTCTTTCCTTCTTGGTATGGATCCTATGGAGCCCACTCTTGGTAAGGGCCTTCCCCTCTCTGTGTTCAGGATAGCTGTAAGGAAGACTGAGAACAAAATAACAGCCTGCTACCCTCTTGTCACCCCATTGCAGATGGGAGAGGTGCACAGAACAGCAGCAGCTGCTCATAGTACCTTAACATCCTCTGGGAAAGGGTGCCCCTCAAGCATAATCCTTGTCCTCCCTTGTCATCTCTTAGCTTCTCCTTATTCAGGCTCCATCTTGCTTCCCCCATTCCTTTATCCTTCTCCTCTGTCCTCATTGCCCATCTCTTCCTTCTTCTCAAAAACAAAAACAAACAAACAAACAAAAAACCAAAAGAAAATAGATTTCCAAGAATGAAGAAAATGCATCGAGTCACCGAATCCAGCCTCTTTGCTACCCATTTCCTAGCTATGTGGTGTTGATCCAGTTCCATGCCCACTCTGAGTGCCACTGGTCATGTTTTAGAGAGAAGGAGGATGATGCTTGCCATAAGAATTTGTAGGACTAGTAGCTAGGTACTTGTTACCACCATGCCTGGAACACAGCAGGTACTAGTGAGTGGGCAGCTGATCATTTCCAGGATGCTGGCTTTATCCTTAAAGTTTATCCTGATTTTAGGAGACAATGTGGTCTCTGGGAGGTGTTTACTAAATGGTGTGTTGATCTTCATTCTAATTTCTTTGGAGTAGAGACTGGAAAAGTGGCTTAATGTTTAAAAGCATTTGCTGCTCACATACATTTGTAACTCCATGGTTTAGTTACAGTTTCTATTGCTATAAAGAGACTCCATGACCATGGCAACTATTATGGAGGAAAACATTTTGGGTAGTTTGTAGTTCAGAGGTTTAGTCCATTATCATCGTGGAGGGACATGGTGGCGTGTAGGCAGATATGGTGCTGAAGAAGGAACAGAGAATTCTACATTTTGATTCAAAAGCAACAGAGAGTGAACCGAGACACTGGGCATGGCTTTAGCATATGAGACTCAAACCCTGCTTCTACAGGGACACACTTCCTCCAACAAGGCCACACCTATCCACCAAAGCCACACCTCATAATAGTGCCACTCCCTATGAGCTTATGGGGGCTATTTGCAATCAATCTACCACACCACACTCCAGTTCCAGGGAATCTGACACCCTCTTCTGGCCTTTGCACACACAGGGCTCTCACATGGAGCACATGCATACATGTAGGCAAATACTTGTTCACAAAAAATGAAAACAAATAAAATTTAACTTGGAGCAGGCTTTTTAAATTATGTCTATTTTCTGAGTATGGGTGCTTTGTCTACCTGCATGTCTGTACCTCACATGCATGCAGTGTCTATGGAGGCCAGAAGGGGGCATCAGATCTGGAACTGGACCAGTGTTGTTAGTTGCCAAGTGGGTGTTAAAAATTAAACCCAGGTCCTCTGAAGAGCTGCTAGTACTCTTGACACTGAGTCCTCTCTCTAGCCCCATAGAGTAGACTTTCTTATACTGAGAGCTTTCTTTAGTAGATGGTTTTTCTTTTCTGATCCTCTGTTTCCCTACCTAAAACATATGAGACACACTCCTTCCCGTCCACGCAAAGAGGCAGTGGGAGAGTATATGACCAAGAGAAGGGGCCCTATTCCTGAAAATGGCATGTTCACATGTCTATTGCCTTATGGGACTGGGCTTGGTCCTATGTGTCCATTCTGGGGCTCAGAGGTTCTTCACATTGGGAGATTCTAACAGCACATGGCTTGGAGTCTTGCCCTGGATAGAAATGCAGATAATGCCTATGGGTTTACATGTACATGTGTGTTCCCTTACATGTACATGTGTTGTGTGACTTTTCCAGGGGTAAACAAATGTGTTTACCCCAGGTGGTGTTCCATGACAAACTAATAATTCCTCTCAAGTCTAGCTTGATGGAGCAGACAGTTTACTTAGGTTGCTTCAAGGAAGGAGTTACTATATTAGTTTCCTTCCCCCATTGCTATGATGAAACACTGACCAATAAAAACTCGGGGAAGAAAGGATCTATTTGACTTACAGGTTGTGTAGTCCATCATCAGGGCAAAGCAAAGCAGGAACTCCAGACAGTAGCTTCGAGCAAAAATCAGTAGAGGAACTCTGCTCACTGGCTTGCTCACTTCTTTTCTATAAAGGCCACGGCCATCTGCCTAAGGACAGCACCACCCACAGTGGGCTGGGCTCCCCTACATCAATTAGCAATTAAGAAAATGCCCCCAAAGACATGCCTACAATTCAATCTGATGGAGGCAGTTCTCCAGCTGGTGGTCCTTCTTCCCACATGACTCCAGTTTATGCCAACTTGACAAAAACTAACCAGCACAGTTACAGGAGCACAGTGACTCAAAGGCAGCAGTACTACTGAGGAGCTCACCCTCAGCTTGGGTGGCATCCGTGCATGGAGATTCTGACATGGCATAGCTTTTGGGCAGCTCCATCAGAGAGTCTCCTTTTACCAGTAATTGCTGACTGCTGTTAGCATCTTAGGGAGGGGCTTGTGAATCTTGTAACTTTCTGAGCCTTTTTATTTCTTGGTTTTCCTGAGTCTTATGAGTCTCCCTCCTCCCTCCAGAAGGGAATGCTTAAGCTATGAAAATGGCTACACGAGGAAAGGCATGCATTCCTCCATGTGCTCCATTGTCCGTCTGTCTCAGCAATGTCCCCTGCCTCTCACTGCCTCCCATCACTGGGAAAGCTCTTTCCCCACCTCACCCGCTACTCTTTCCAGATGTCATCCTCAAGGTGATGGACAACAATAAGAAAGAGGAGCTGGTGTCCTATAAAGTCCCCATTAAATACCTGCGTATCTTCCACACATACCACTTCGAGTTAAAAAAGGTAAGCCCAAGCAAGCACTAGGCTGTGAGCCTAACCCCTGGCTGGGTAGTGCTTTGATGTTCCCAAATGTTCTCTGAGAAGAGAATTGAGGGTGAGCTCAGGTCATGTTCCTCCCAAGCCAGAGATATGGAGTATAAATTTGGTAGTCAAAATATTCTCCAGAATGAACCCTGTCAGGGGGACAACTGAATACCAACCTGGAGTAGAAACTACAGCCTCTCAACCTTGAACTAGACTCCTAGTGCTGATTGGTGAAGGGGAAGATTCACTTTCATTGCTTATGTACTTATTAAGCACCTGAGTGCCTGGTCCTGGGCCACAGAGGAGCAGAGCATCACTTAGCTCTTCTCCAACATGCACTCGAGACCCTTTCCTTTCAAAGGAAAGGAGCATGTGAGGTAAGATTGTCTGGGTTCCTGTTCTAGGTCTAGGTCTGCCACTTACTAGTTGCATGTCCATAGGAGTACACTTTACCCTGGACCTCTATTGCTCCATAGCAAAGGCAAGACAAGGCACCTCCGGGCAGGCTCCAATGTGGTGATGGGTAAAGTTGGAAGAACTCAGCATGTGTAGTTCCCATCCCTACTCCTTCCCCCAGACCTTGGCACTCACCTTCTTGCCAAGCAACTCTGGTGCCAGAGATCACTATCCTCCCTGGGCTGCAGGGCTACAGAAGGGGCACCAGGGCAGGAAGGAAAGCAAAGACCCCAAGAGACCCTGAAGGTAGCCCTAGACCTGTCTTGTGGGACATCTGCCAGGCCCTGCTCTCTGTCTACTTACACCCCAGGCCTCCTTATCACATCCTCACCAAGAAAGAAGGCAGGCAGTAGTCCCTGTGAGGGCAATGAAATATTCCAATGGAAAGGGGGAGATTTATTGGCTGATCTTCTTGGAAGAGCTCCCGGGGACTATGAGCTTTAATTACAGCTCAAGTCCCAGTGGTGCAATGGTAAGCAAGTGTCCACACAGGGCTGGATTTATGACCAGGCCCTGCCCCTTAGACATTCTCCTTCCTATGTATCTTCTGTCTCCATTCTGTCTTCACCCCGTGCAGTCTGAGAAAGCTGATGAAGCCACTGCCAAGAGCCGCCTATATGCCACCATGGTTCGGAAGAGCAGCTTGCTACCCCGCTACATTGGCTGTGACCATACAGCTCTGGAGGTACCAGCACTGGGGGACTGTGGGGACTGTGGGGACAGGTGGAACCCTTGATCACCTCTGAATGGCCTGAGAGATGGAGCAGAGGTGTCTAGGGAAGAAATAAAAAAGGGTAGGAACAATGAGACCTTTCTAAATTAGCCATATCGGGGGCAGCGAGATGGCTCAGTGGGTAAAGTATGTGCTAAACAAATCTGATGACCTAAATTCAATCCCTGAAATACACATAGAAAACTGACTCCACAAGGTTGTGCTGTGATCTACACACACACACACACACACACACACACACACACACACACACACGCATGCCAACACCATGGCACAAACACACCTCCCACACACCAAGCGCATGAGACTCCCAGACAAAACCTGTCATTTCCCTGGCTTGTCCTCAAGTTTGACTGGTCTATTGCTTGAGCATTTACAACCTTATTCACTTGTTCACATGATGGCTAGTTATACATCCTCATCTACCGGGCAGACCAAGCATGAGCCATACCATGACCTTTCACCTTTCAGCCCAAGGACAGCTTCAAGAGGAACGATAGGTACTTGAGGCACACATGGCCCAGGCACCTGGACCCTCAGCCTTTCCCTGGGCAGCATATTCATATCCACAAATGTCTGTGTGCAATCCTTAGAGCTCTGACATAGCCTTCTCCTACCCCCAGAGACCTGATCTGATCCCTTGTCATGGAGCACCATGAGCCTGGCAGGGCAATAACTGATCTCTAGCCCCATGTCACATCTTGGGACTCGGAGACCCAAGTTAGTCTGATATAAGAGCCCAGAGACCCTGAACAACATCTCTGATTCCCCTCAGCTACCGGCTGGATGTCAGCAGGTGTCTGTTTCCTCTCTTCTGTCTGGCCCCTTTCTAGGACAACCAGTCACTCCTGCATATGAATCAAGGAAGAATTAAGTCAAGATGGCTTGGCTGTCCACAAGCTTCATCCAGGGAAGGGGCCACATCCCCAGGACAGTGGACCTGCCCACCCCTGCCTCAGTCTTCTGACTTGTCTAGCAGAGTCTGAGCTCCCTTGTCCCCCAGAAGCCCACCTATCCACTCCCGTTCCAACACAGACCTCTCTCCAGAATATGTCACAGAATATCCACAGAAGCACCTGTCTCAGGAGACACAGTGGGAAAAGAAATTGCTTCAGCTACTCACCAGGCTGTCACAAGCAGGTATACTGCTACAGCTGTCTCATTCACAGATGGCCAGAGTCAGCACACAACAGGTGTAAATTATCCATCCCCTACAGACACACCTAGACCATTACCTTCAACCCTCATACCTGTTGAAGTTCTTGTGAGCAATAGGGCATGACAGCTCTTCAGTGACATCAGAGGCTCACCTGGGGGCCCCTGTGAGAGCCAAAAGGCACTAAGGATGGTTTAAGTGTTACCAGCTCACACCTGTGTGGAGTTAGCCACCAGCAGCCCATCAGAGACTGGTCCAGACAGAAGGGCCTTAGGGGATGGTCATCAAGCGAGAGAGGTATTCAGAGCAAGCCCCACCCCCTGGGCTTCTTTTCCCAGTGGAGAGCAGAGCCAGAAGACACAAACTCTCAATGCACAGGTTGGAAAACTGAGACCTAAAGAGGGTCTGGGTCTGGTCAAGGTTTTCCAGCTGGGGCAGACCCAGCAAGGGAATGACTGTATTCAGGGCCCCTGTCCTTCATGCCTTTTTCCTTAGGACCCAACCAATTTTTGAGGCCAGTTCAACTCCACCCTTCCTAAGGCCGCCATGTCTCTCTCACTCTGTCCGCAGGACTCTCTGTTCTTCCATCCTTCTCCTTAACACTCAGCAGCACAGAGACACCTCTCCTGTCATCATTCTCCCTTGCCCTCTTGAATGTCACAAACATTGTTGACTCCCTCTCTGTGCCAGGTTCTGTGCTAAAAGCTGGCAATACAACAGTGAGTGGTATGCATGTGTGTGCCCATGCCAGCCTTATCAAATAGAGAGCAAACAAAGAAGCTCCAATTCTGGTGATTGCTACAGAGGAGGACGGCAGAGGCCAAGAGAATGGGCTTCTTTAGTTATTAGAAATGGACCAGGGATGGTGCCGCAGAACCTAAGGAGAAAAAAATAGCTGTCAGAATAAATTGGCAGAGGATGAGGATGGAGAGGTCCAGAGACAGGAATTGGAGTGCGCAAAAGCAGAAGCAACAATGTGTTAGGAGAGAAAAAGACTGCAGCATAAAGAGGGGTCTGGGGAGCTGGCAGGAAAGCAGAGGAGCAGACAGGTCAACACTTATGGGCTTTGGCAACATGGCGAGAACTGTGAAATGAGGGCTGCCCAGGCAATGCTGATGCCAAGGATTGCCTTCTCATCCACCCTTTGCTGGGAAAAGCCCTGCAGTGGACAGGCACCAGGGCTGATGAATGCCAAATCAAAAAGTGCCCCGTATGAATCCTGACATTGGATTGGGAGACTCAGTACAGCTGGAGAAACCAGTCCTGGGCTTAGTATCCCCGATTTACGAAGTGCCTTCTCCTCTCACATAATCAGAGAACTACCTCTTGTAACCCAGGAGGATCCATGACCACAGTTTTGTTCCAGAAATTGTCTGGGCCTCCTCCCAGACCTGGACTCCTGCTTATATACCTTGTCCCTCAGGGCAGCTGAATTCCAGGAATGCCCCTAGGAAACCAGGGGCACTTTCCCAGTCAGACTCTACTTCCTGAAGTTGAGAAAAGCCTTGAGCAAAATAAAAGGCAAGGAAAGCAGGGGTGGGGAGGAGCACATCCCAGAGATGGGTAGTAGCATGACAACCATGTGATCATGGCAGGTGTAGGGATGGGATCATGTGATCATGGCAATTATACGGATGGGATCATGGCAGGTGTAGGGATGGGATCAGAGATGTTAGGGGTAGGATGGGAGCCTTCAACTGCTTCCTCTTCTCCTTCCAGGTCTTTCTTCAGGGAGTCAACGAGCCTCTGGTCAACAGCCCCAAACCCATGGTGGTGATTGCTCGGGTGGTTCCCAGCTACACTGAGTTTAAGTAAGCGGATGTAGGTTAGGAGGGAGAGGAGGGCAGAGGCTGGGATGAGGAAAAGGTCCCCTTCCTTAAGTTCCCTCTAAACTCCTTCAACACACACCTTGAGTTTTCCATAGCAGACTTTGCCTTTCTCTTCCAGAAGACCCTGAGCCCTGAAAAGAGAAAGTGGGGACTCTCTCCTGAGATTTCTGAGCATGTAGGGCCTGAAGAGCAGGAAGGAGATGGTATCAAGGAGCCCAATAGAGACTCCTTTCCCAGCCCAGGAGAACCTCTGCCCCCCCCAAAAAACCTGCCATCCCAGGCTCCCCTTTCCCTGTAGGGTTCAAGGCTTCAGCATCTGAGGGTCCCCAAAGTAGATGACCTAAAGCCATCTTGGAACATGAGTCCTGCCTGGGTGTGTCCTTTCTCAGCTCCTGGTGGTGTCTACCCCGGTCTCGGCATGTTTCCCAGTTCCCAGACCTCCTTTACAGTGCCCTCAGGAAGGAATTCAGGCTAGAGTGGCCACTGATGGCCAAAGAGAGGGATGTTCTTCAGGCAACGTGATTGCTCTGTGACAGCACCCCTCCCAGAGTTGGCTGTCTGCCTGTCACTGCCCAAGCTGATCTCCTGATTCATCCCTGGCTCTGAGGACTTTTTATAACCCAAAAGCCCCACTTTCTTATTGGAGGTGTGATCACTAATGGCCTATTGCAGTGATAATACACCAGTGGGCCCAAACTGCAAGCACGTGTGCATGTTCCCCCACAGGCCCTTCACCCTTAAACATAAGCCAGGATCTCCACAAGTCAGGAGGAATTCTGATAAAGATTTTCAAATATGAAGTGGGGAAGGCAAGGCCCATTTTGAAGATGGTAAAGGTGACTTGCTCTGATACAGCCAAGGTCACCTCAAGTCACTGCTAAGAGATCCTGAGAACTATGGCTGTCATCTCCTACCAAGTTGAACCTTGCCAAGACTTGAGCCGGAAATCACCAGTGTGTTTGTTACAAGGTCCTAGCTTAAATGAGATGGACCACTGCACTCTCCCCTGCACCTCAACCCAGAGTCCAAGTGTGAGCCTCTGTTGCCACGCTGGCCACAGGCCAGAGAGTGACAACTCCTGTTCCCTTGCCTCTGCAGGGCCAGCCAGGCCAGGCAGGACCCTTCCTCTGTGGGGCTGCCCCTCACCCAGATTTCCTTCCCTATCTCATCACCAATGAACTTTGATGTGCCTCGGGTCAGCAAGAATGGATGTCCTCAGGTATGTCCTTCCCAACCGCGGCCCCTCACTGGGGTATACTAGTAACAGACACATTCATTCATCATGACATCATCGGGCAGCTCAGCTGACTACTGAAAAGCATTTGCTACATCTCACTGCTTCCCAGAATCCTCTCCTGTGTGCTACACAGAACCTGCTCTCTCGACTCCCAGAGATACTAAACATCCATCCAGATCATGTCTAATCTAGTAACAAGCCAGCAGGAACTATCAGAGCTACAACAAGCAGAGAAGAGGAGACACAAAGAACAAACAGTATGGATTCCACCTGTCACGGGGCACCTCAAACCAACAGTCACAGGGACAAGAAACACAATAGTGTTATCAAGGGCTAGGGAGATGAGAGAGCAGAGAGCTACTGATTTGTGGGTATGAGACACTTAGGATGATGTGTGGACGGGCATGCGTGTGTGTGTGTGTGTGTGTGTGTGTGTGTGTGTGTGTGTCTGTGTGTGTGTGTATGACACAGATGTCAATGTCCAGTTTTTTACACTTTAGTGTTTTCATATTTTTAAAATTTGAGGAAAATGGGATGTGTTCACATGCCACAGGACAAGTATAGAAAGTCAAGAGATAAACTGTTCTCTCTTTCCACCATATGGGTTCCAAGGATTGAACTCAGGTTATCAGTCTTGGCAGTAAGCACCTTTCCTCACTGAATTGCCTTGCCAGCCCTTCCTCACATTGTTTTTTATCTGGAGTTCACTGACTCAGCTGACTGGGTGGCCAGCAAGTCCCAATGACCTTCCTGTCTGCCTCTCTGTGCTGGAGTTCCAGGTACTGGGTCAGAACTCAGATCTTTAGCAAGGTCTTTATGTAATTGATAATTTTCTCAGCCTCCATAATACGTTTTTAACCAGAGAAAAGGAATGTTTATGTCTGGATGGTTAGGGAAGGCAGATCTTGACCCTTCGCCTTGTTTTTGAGACAAGGTTTCCTTATATACTCCCATCTGCCTGCCTTACCCTCCCAGCCCTGGTAAAATAGGCATGTGCCACTATGCCAACTTAGTCATCACTTTTCACACTTTTTCCTTTTCATTCATTATTATTGTATGTATATGCATCATATAGGCAGGGGCAACCATACCACAGCACACATGCAGAGGTCAGAGGGCAGCTTTATATGAATTCCAGAGAGCAAACTCGTGTGCTGCATACATGCTGTGGTATGTTTGCCTCTGCCTATATGATGCACACACACACACACACACACACACACACACACACACACACACACTTAAAAGGAAAAAACCTAAAAAGTGATGATCATGCGCCTTGACAGCAAGTCTCTTTAGCACTGAACCATTTTGCCAGACTATTGATCTTCATGTTTTGATATGAAAAGGTTTGTCTAGGGCAGTGATCTATACAGTAATGTATATAGTATAACCCAAAATGTAGTACATGTTGGGAGTGGGCAGGAAGACATATGTTTAAATACACTGAAAAGGTGCACAGGTCATGACTGAGCTCAGGAAATGGCCAGACTGACCTCCTACAGTCTGCATGCCACTGGGAGCTTGCTGTACATGATGGAGGAGGCTTAGAAGACAGGGTGTTCTTGGAAGTCCCTACTGTCATCTGCCTGCTAAAATTAGAACAAGACACTCTGTTGGAGCCCCAGCTTTCATTTAGAGGAAGACATTTAAAGAAGGCTCAGGCACAGGCCGATGTGATGGCAGTCAGAGAAGGATGGGATAAAGGGGAATCATGGGGACAGCTTCAAAACCAAACCAATCCTCAGCCTGATTTCCCCAGAGTCATCTCACACATGGCTCTGCATTTGCACAGAAAATTATGAACCAATCAGCAGCTGTCCCAAGGGGCAAGAGGTACTGCCTGCTTTAATGAGTGAACCTCTCCAGGCCTGACCACTGGCCATCTCCACTGCCTAGCTCCACATGAATGCAACTCAAAGCAGATTTCCCAGTGCTTTTCCCACATGTGGGACTCCAGGCCAGAGCCTAGCAGAAACACTTGCTAAAGGTTACCCATTATGGTAGTAGCTGGATGAGGTTTAAAGCTGCATGTAACCTTGCAGAGATGCCCAGGGCCAACAGGGAAAACAAGTGAGGAACAGGCTGGGAAGTAAAGGGGATCTGGTCAAGAACTCTGAGCCTAAAGAGTGCACAGTCTCCTATCCTGCCCCTTCCAAGCTTCATCTCTCATCTTTGCTGTTGGTAGAATGGGGACTGAAGCAGATAATATCTAAGTCTGGTCCTCTTTGACATTCTTGGAGTACTGTGAGTTTCTTGTAAACCCCTTGTCAGGAGCTGCTAGGCCCAGCAGACCTAGGTTGGAGTCTAGTTGTGTAGCTTAGTAGTTGTATGACCTTCAACAAACTGTATGATTCCCCCAGACTCCTCCCTGACTAGGCTGTTAGAATGGAAAGGCTAACTTCTGTCCTCTTCAGAGCTTCACACCCTGCCTGAGGCCAGTCTTATCATTGCACCTGATGCCTTTGATGAACCCCACAGAAACCCAGGCTCAAATGGACCTGTCTACTGCCATACATCACAAGTAGTCTTGGCTTTAGATGCTGCAAAGTGGTCACCCTTAAGGACATGATCTCTAACACCTAGACTATCTGGGCAACTAATTGCTCCTGCCTTTCTTGCCTGAGCCATTACAGCAGCCTTCCTGTTCCAACCTTGCTCATTTGTTCTTTGAGAAGCAAGTAAGGTATGCCCTGCCCCAAAACTATGGCTTCCCTTGGACCCTTCATCCCTCTCACACACAGGACAAGCCATTAGCTATGCCCTGTTCATCCAGACGCAGAGCTCATCACTCCAGTTCTCACCCAGCCTCAGGGAAGACTCACCCACTGTTCTCTTCATTCATCCTCTCTCACCTCCAACCTTGACCTCAATCCTAAGCTCTTCCCTGCCCCAGCTAAGATGTATGGCATTCTCCTTACATATCCTAATTGCCACCACAATAACTTGCTCAGGCTCTGCATGATGGCAGGAGTGGGTGGGTGTTTATTCAAATGCATGTATATACTCTATACTCTTGGAAAATAAACTCCAGGAAGAGGCAGAGTCTGTCTCCAGCTCTCACATGGTCCCTGCAATACCCTACAAGTGTCTGATGTGATGTCCCAGGCAATACTTGCTAAGCTAAGTCAATCTGAACTTTTGTCTACTAGAAAAATATCCATTGGCTCTTTCAACCTTGCAAAAGGCTTTCAAAGTGTGAAGCACAAGGAATTTGGTGAGAGAGAGACAGAGAAAGGGGGAAAAGCCCATAGGTCCCAGAGAAGGAAAGGAACCCACTGTGATCCAAACAGTAAGCTTAAAGTGGTCCCTGGGCCCAGAGCCAAGGGTCCTAGCTTGCTCAAAGCCCCAGCTAGCACCAGCCCCCAGCAGCACTTCCTCCCAGCATGACTCCACTGCCAAAGCCAAACAGATAGCAGTGGATGAGGGTGAGAGCCAGGGTGAGTCCAGAGGAAGCAGGAGGAGGAGAAAGGGCCAAGGGCCCATGGAGTGAAGGCTCTGTCCCCAGGGAAGGCAGGTCTGCCTCAGTGGCAGAGGGTTAATGGCTTTTCTGAAGATCACAGCTGAGGGTTAATCATATTCTTTAATTCCAAAGCCCACCATAGCCTTTCCCATTAGCATCTTCAGGCCATGTCTACCCTATACCCACCCCCCTCACCCCTGCACAGCATACAGATCAGCCACTAACACTTTCATCTCTACAGGGCTGATAATAGATTGTCATTTAACCTTGAGTCCTATGCACACTCATTTTTGTATGACAGAGGGAGAAAGAGACAGAGCGAGAGAGAGAGACAGAGAGAGGTAGCAGAGAAAGCAAGAGAGAGAAAATATGTATGATTCACCCTCTCAAATTCTAGGTATGAAGGGCTTTCTCCTGGGGGACTTACTCTGGGAACCCATTCAGGAAGAGTGCTGTCCCTCACCGGGCAGGCAGCCACTTACAACCTCTTGCCATGTAGACTCCATTTAGATCTGTTAATAAGTCCCACAGCAGACAGCTAGCATCCATTAAATAACCCTTTCCCAGGATAGAGGCAACAAATGAGGCAGCAGGAAATCAAGTCACAGCCTCTCCTCCCTGAGGGCCACAGGGCCTGGCAGCTGGCCCAGGCAATGTGGATACCTCCTCTGATACCCAGGAATTGGGAGGGTCATGGTGAGGGGATCAATCCTGAGAGATCAATACCAAGGTCTACACAATTGACAACTGGCTTCTGGGGCCTGGACTGCTGGCCACGTGGCTGTCCCCGAGTTTCTACCATGGTGTCTTAGGGATGTGCCCATGACTCCAGCCACTCTCATCTACCCCTGTGTCCTTGGGGACAGGGAACAATTCAGCCAGGCCTTGGGCAAGGCTCCTGAGGACCAGAGCAAACCCATTGGTGTGGCAGGCGTGAGGGCCCCACCAGGTCAGGAGGAGTAGGCCCGTGCTGTTATTTCTCCATCTGGCATCAGTAACTCCTGCAGTATCTGTGCTGACCTTTCCCTGTGACTGCTAAGCCCCTCAGGGGAGCAAAAGTTAGGATCATTGCCACTGTGGCCGACAGCCCCTGGAAGGGCAGAGGCAGGGCAGCCCATGCTGAGGCCATGCAGGGCTTCCTGCTGAGAGTTATAGGCTATTTCCCCCGCCTTCCTATCTATGTGGGTTCTGGGATTTTCCATGAGTCCTCCCCACCCCCTTCCAGCGCCCTTCAATGTGCTGAGCTGTGTCACCTCCACACCTTGTTGCTTGTGTCACTCTCCCACCTAGAAGCCCCTCCCCTCTTCTTTCACTTCTCTGGTCCAGCTTCCTTTGAGGTTTTTGGACCACCCAGAGTCTCCCTCGTTTGGACATTAGTCAACACTGACACATTTCATCTTCCAAGCCATCCCCACCTGTGTGCCCCATCTGCTGTGTGATGGTGCCTTCAAGTCACCTGAGTCCCTAATGGTCTGAAGCCAGATAAACCCAGGTTCTGGAACCTTCTGAACAGGGATGGGGTAACTTGAATGCAATAGTAAGGGACTGTGAATGTTGGCACAATACTGGGAAAACAGTACACACATCTAGCAAGTACCCTAGAGCATGAAAATCCTTTCACTGAGCAATACTTTAGATATTTGTACTAAGAAAGTAGTCTGGGATACAGAGGGATGTGGCAAAGAGGAACATCCAGCAAGTGTTGTCATGGAGAAAAACATCAGAGAATGGGAGAGCAAAACGGCTCAGAGAGTAAAGGTGTTTGCTGCCACACCTGGCAATCTGAGTTTGATGATCCAAAACCTACCACGCGATGGAAGAAAATAACTTATTCAAGCAAGTTGTTCTTCAACCCTGTGTGTGTGTGTGTGTGTGTGTGTGTGTGTGTGTGTGTGTGTGTGCATGCGCATGCGTGCTCATGCTCATGAGCATACACACACACACATACACACACACAAATTAAAAACTTAAAGATAAAAAAAGGAAAAATCAGGGCAGTCGGACATGACAATGCATCTTCTGGAGAAGGTAGGCTCTGTTTTGATTTTTAAGGTCTTATTTAACCCAGGCTAGCCTCAAACTTGCTACATAGCTAAGGTGTCCCCCAACTCTTTATGTAGCCCAAGTTGTCCTTGAACTCCTGATCCTCTTGCCTCCACCTCTCAAGTGCTAGGATTCTAGTTCTATGCCACACAGAATATCTTAGTTACTAGAGTCACTTGTAATGAGAGTTTCTTGAGAGTATGGGTATGCTCGTGTTTTGATTGTAAATGGAAAATGGCAGAATGATGGTAATTATAAATATACAATATGCACTAAAAAAAAATGGAACAAAGTGGTATTGAGTGACTGTCCTCTTTTTTTTTTTTTTTTCCTGGTACAGAGTTTCTCTGTGCTACCCTGTAGACCAGGCTGGCCTTGAACTCAGAGAACAGCCTGCCTCTGCCTCCCAAGTACTGGGATTAAAGGTTTACACCACCACTGCCCAACTTGAATAATCACTCAAGTCTTAATGTAATAATATAGGAGTTTTCCCTTTTATTTACAACTTATAACTGGGACAAACACTTGTGACATGTAAGGGATATGTGTACAACCATATCTGGAAGAAGATATGACCTCACATCTGCTGCCACATTCTTCCAGCTGTCCAGGCCTGGGGGACCCCCAGAGCAGCCCTTATGGAACCAGTCCTTCCTTTTCCAAGGCCGAGATGGAGCCACCAATTTCTCAGGGGACACAGCTCTAGTACTGGAGTATTATCCTTCTGCCTCAAGTAAGTGCCTAGTGTCCCATCAGGGCATAATTCATCAGGAGAGAACCGTTAAGGGACGTTTTGGCCACCTGCCTCTGCTTTCTGTGAGGACTGCCTAAGGGCCTCCAGGAACCAGGAAGCCTATAGTACAGACAAAAGAATGGAAGAAGGTCCAACTTAAATCCATGTCCATAGACCATCTGCAGAGCACAGACCAGGAAATGTGGGCCTGTCCCTGCCTGGACACCATAAGCATCCATCAGTGAGAAGAGAGTGTACTGGAGAATGGCAGAGGAAACAGCTGATCCCGAGTCCCAGTCCCATAGTCTAAATTCACACACACACACACACACACACACACACACACACACACACACACACACACACGAGGACAGAGACAGAGTGATCCAGAAAAATATCTATGGATATAAAATCTGCTTAGAGCTCACTCTGAACTAATATATCTCTAAAGAAACAAAGAGGCTGAGTGTATTTGTATAGGGCAAATGAGAGGCAGGAAATCAGGGGCATCAGGAGCCTAGAGAGCTACATGACCAACACCAAGGATAGAGCCCAGGGAATGCCTAAAGACCCATCTAAGAATCTGGGTGGTAGGAACAGGAAGTTGTTGACAGGACAAGAAGTTGTCCTTCCTCCCACAGTGAAAAGCAGTGAACCGTGGACCCTCAAGCAGCCCCTGGGTGTCTCCGTGCTACCACTAAAGTCTCGTCTATACCACAAGATGTTGTCAGGAAAAGGCTTAAAGGGGCTGTATGTGGAACGGCTCCCCATCACTGTAAGTCCCTACTATTCATTGGTCCCCAACATGGTCCCACCTCACTCCTGTTCCATGGCCACACCTATAGAAGGGAATATGGCTTCTTTGAGGAGGGTATCAAGTCAGGGTTTCTCTATATAGCCCTGGCTACAGAACTTGTTTCCTTACACCATCTTCCTCTAGGACTGGGACAGATGACAACCTTTCCAGACCTCATTTCTCCTCTCTATACACACAGCCAGGACACAATAAACAGGGTTATACTCCAGCTCTGGGGGCAGACTGGCTGAGCTCAAATTCTGTGTTTACCACTTGCCAGCTTACATGTGACCATATTCCTTTCTGTGGGAAAAAATATAGTAGCCGTGCCTCAGTTTCCTTGTCTATAACACATACACTCATGCACACACACACACACACACTCACACACACACATGCTCATGCATACACAGAGAAGAGCGCTTGGTCACAGAGTTTCTATGGGATTTGGTTAGGAAATACATAAAGCACATAAATAGATTCTCAATAATGTCAGGCCTGGTGGTACAGGTCTGTAAATCCTGGCTACTCCAGAAGCTGTGGTAGGAGGATGGAAACGTTGAGGCTTGTCTGGGCTACAGAATGAGTTTGAGACCAGTGTGGAGACCTTGTCTCAAAACAAAAAGTTAAAAAAAAAATTTTTTTTAAAGAACAAGGCTTGGGAAGAACGCTTGCCTAGTACGCAAGCTTACAAGAGACCAAATGTTCAATCCCTTTGAAGGAAAAAAAAAAAAAAAAAACAATTCTATCATTACTGTTTTTATCATCATTTTTAATATTTTTTGAGACAGAGTCTCACGTGTCCTAGGCTGGCCTCAAACTCACTATGTAGCCAATGATAACTTTGAGATCTTGATCCTCCTGCCTCTGCTTACCTAGTGCTGGGACTACAGGTTTGTACCATCACACCCAGCGTCATTGTCTACTTCTGTGCCACCATTCCCCTAAATACCCCTGACATAACAGCAAGCAGGAACTTCTGCTCTGCCAGACAAGTGCGGAGGTGCCAGTCAGGTGTTGAATGAAGTGAGCAGGGCCACGCAGAGGTGGTGCAGGAACATGGGGCATCTGCCCATACTCCTTTGTACCCTCCTGCTTCCCAGGGAAGCCAGAACAAGAGAAGGGGCAGAGGCCATGTAGACTCACTGCCTCTTCTCCTCTACAGGACACCCACCTAAAAACCATCGATTCTGAGGCCCCCACGGTGAACCTCTCCTTGCAGCTTCTTTCCTCTGAGGTAAGGATGGTGGCCTGGAAAGGCCAGACATGTGTCAGCTCCCATAACCCCCAGTGAGTGACAAAGTCCTTCACAGGGGCTAGGGAGAAGGAAGAGTTTGCTGATTTAGTTGAGAAATTCCAGGGGGTTTGAGACCCCAGGAAATCAGAGTGCTGCAATTAGGAAGAGGCAAGAACGAAGGGCCACTAAGACAAGGAGTCTGCCTCTGCCCCAACCTAGACTAAGCCACACCTCCTTGACTGGGGATCAAAGTTCCATGAGAGTGACATGAGAGGGTTCTTTTGGGGGTGCAGGCAGGATGTAGTTCCTTGCAGTGTAGGACTGGTGGCCCAGTTCCTTGCTGGCTGCGAGGCAGGGTGCTCTCAGCTCCTGGAGACCGCCCACAAGCCTTCTCACCATGGTCCTTGTACTGTGATGCCAGCAGGCACAGCTAGTCCCCAGCACACTTTGAAATCCTGACTTTCTCTGTCAGCAGCCAGAGAAGACTCTGTGCTTGTAAAAGAACAGGACCAGCATCTTGTCTCGGGATCTTCTGTGTCCTACAACCCAACAGAATCATGAAAGCCATGGCTCTCTTTTTGGCAATTCTAAATATTGAGGTGTGGGGGCTTGGGGTCCCATTTTGGGATCCTGATTGCCACAGCAGGGTCCCTCCAAGTAGGAAGTTTACCAGGGCAAGCCCTACCTGGGGGAGGTCACTGATCCTCTATCCAGGTCCACTCGAGCTTTGACACTGGTCATGGCTCTAGTGTACCTGAAAGCTACCCACTGAAAACTTCTCTTCCCTCTCTGGTACTAGGGTGTGGGCAGTCTGATCCTGAACCCAGGAAATGTTCAAGAGATGATAAGGGCTAATCTACTCTTGCTAGCTTCTCAGGATAGGAAAAAAGTCCATCAGCTGTGGACTTGTGTCCTTATCCTTGGAGAACATGGGAATTCCATTGTATGAGGAGACTATCTGGGAAGATGACAACACAAAAGCCCCAGTGTATTGTTCACCATCATCCTCTCCAGATCCCTCTAATCCCTGCTCATGGCACCCACACCTGTACTCACCACTAAATCAAAGGCAAGAATAAGAAAACCCACAGAAGTCACAGAAAACAAAAGACTCAGGGTGGCTGAGATGGTTCAAGCCTGATGACTTGCAGTGGATCCCCAGAACTCACATCAGTGTGGAAAGAGAGAATGAATTCCACAAAGTTGTGCTCTGATCTTTATGTGCATATTCATACACACACACAATACATACACATATACACGCATATACATGTGCACACACATACACATATGCACACACATATATACACATATGCACACACATATATACACATATACACACACATACATACACATATGCACACACATACATACACATACACACACATACATACACATACACACACATATGCACACACATACATACACATACACACACATACACATATGCACACACATACATACACATATGCACACAACACATACACATATACATACATACACATATACATACATACATACATACACACACCACATAACTAATAATATGTGCCCCATGTATAATAACTAAAAACTTCAATTAAAATATTTTTAAATCCTAAGAAAGGAGAAGCAGGGAAATATAACATCTCTCCCCTAGTATCCCAGCCTTCCAGGCCTTCTCAGGGTCTAGGATCTGTCAATAGGCACTGCCAGTCTCTTGTAGTCTCCCTCTGCCTCCTACCTTGCCCCAGGACACATACTCCGCAACCAGGGAAGGAGAGACAGAGTAGGTACCCCTGGCCAGGAAAATGATGGGGACAGACAGTCAACAGGCAGGTGAGTAGGACATGTCCTCTGTTGCCCAGAGGCTGGGCACAAAGGTCTCCAGTGATGAATTATTCACTGGAACTGCACTAAGTGCAGAATTAATCCCTTTCCTTCCAGCTGGCAGCCTCACTAAATTATCCCTCCAAGTCATGCGGGAAAACACTGCCGAATTCATTTAGTTGCTGAGTGTTTTGATCTGGGCCTTGTGATTTTAGCTTCCCCTTTTCCTTAGCCCTCTTCCCTGGAGGTGGGGGGGAAAAAACCTTTTAGTAATGGATTTCTAGGAAAAAAGGAAAAGAGAGCAAAATTAGGTGTGTACCAGAAAAAAAAAATAGCACTAGCAGAAATGCAGACCCAGAAGCCAAGAATTTGTACACAGAGGTTTCTATATATATCTACGTTCATGCAGTCACAAATGAGTATTTACACAGGGACAGTCACATATGCACAGATATGCATGTGTACACGTCTCTTCGATGTTGCCTATATACACACACACCCACAGACATAAAATGACATTTTCACACCTGTCGACACACACATAATCCCTCTGTAGCTTATCTGTGCCTTGGTGACTCCATCTGAAAACTGGCCAATCAGTGACTCATTTTGACTCTACAATGTTGAAGACCCATTTAGGGATATGACTGTGGTAATGCTGGTGTGAGTCGATTCATCATCTGGTCTTTGCAGCAATGACAGCCATCTCTATGCAATACAGAGAAAAGGAGTTTTAACATCTGTCACTGTATACAGTCTAAAGAGAATTTCTTAAATGCCAGACACTGGGCAGGTCAAAATTTTACCGTGTGACCTTGTGGACTGAAGTGGGGACATGACCTGGGGCTGTAAAGCCATGTTCCTCAAAGTACATTAATTCAACTAATTTTGGTCATGACCCTCACCTTGTATATTGCCACCTTCCCACTAAGGGTTAAAAGAAGAGTGTTGAGAACTGATGAAAGGGTCAGGTAATGATTAAGGTACATCTAGATGTAGCTGGATCCCCATCATTATCCTCACATACCTGCAAACAGCATGCACCAGTCCTTATGTGCTGGGGTTAAGGGCTAGTACATTAAGCAAGACAAAGAATAAAAGAAAAAGTCCTTCCCTTTATAGACATCGGGGACAGAGAATAGAATGAACACATTAGTTCATGAGTAGATACTGGTTAGTGATATACAGCCTGATGACCCTTGAGATGATAAAATCTAGAGGTCCCTGGAAAGGCTGTTTGGCATCCCTGAATAAACAATCTGAGTGAAGCTGGAGCTTAGCTACTGTGAGAAGCCAGGACCCTTCCACCATGATGTTCCACCTCAGAAGAGGCTTCAGCTTTATGGCCCATGCTATGCTTCTTCATGTGCAGTCTATGGGCCAGTGATGGCAGAGTCAGAACAAGGACCACCCATTAATTCCTGCCAGCACAACCTAAAAGCTCTAGGAGCCACCACCAGGAACAAAGTACCAGAGTCTTGTGTGCATTCCAGCTGCCCTAGAGGAGCTTAAGGTGGTAGGTGTCTCGGGACACCTGGCCAGCACAACTAACAAGCCCATCCTTGGGTAACTCAGGAGGGACATAGAGAGGAAGTGCTCCCAGCCTGAGGGTTGAAGGTTCAACACAGGCTGTTCTAGTCCCTTGGACACTTGGCAAGCTCAGTCTTCCATTCTCGTGGTTTCCGTACCACCCACTCACAGAGCTCAGGGACAAAAGTGTGGTGGGGTGTCCAAAGAGACAACAAATCCACCAGGACAGGAACATCCTCGGCCACACCCACCAGCATAGGTGGTCATCCTGTCTTCTACCCTTGCCTCGTCATAACAGGGAGCTCATTCCCCTTAGCAACAGCCCCCCCCCCATGACACAGCAGCTGACTCTGGAAGATAGAAACTTCCCTCACACTGAGATCCCTTGCCTCCTGGGTCTCCCCTTGCTCCATGCTCCCAGCTTCAGCTACTGTGGCTGCAGTGCACCCTGGCAAGCCTTCTGCAAGGATGGCATCATCAGCCAGAAGGCAAGCTGGCAGATTGATCAGCTAACACAGCCTGTCGGCTCAGTGATTGGCAAGCATTGTCTGTCTCTGGTTTGGGGTATTATGCTTCAGAGGGGATTGTCAGTGGCAGGAGTGTGGGGTTGTGGTTGCCCTGGTGTATTGCTTCTCCGTGGGTGTTTGCTGCCTCTGGTGATCTGTCTGAAGCTCGAGCTGTATGTGTAGGAGAGTGCCTGAGCAAAACATGCAGGTACATACATGCACCAGGTCCTCTCTCCCTTGAAGTCAGTAAGGAAGAATTCAGAGGACATAGGCACTGAGAATCCATGACCCCATAGCCACTCCATAGACGGCAGGAATCAACCTTTGGCCTCCTGCTTTCCCCCTTTGATCTCAGCCTTTTCTCTTTGAAGAGGGGGGATGTGTTGTTTCTTACCCCCAAGAGGCTTTGCTAATCCAAGGAAGGCAACCTGCCTTCTTTTAATAATCCCAACACATCCTGGGTGCCCTCCAGCCTGCAGGCAGCCTCTTTGAAGTACAGCCCAAGATGAGCAGATCTCCCTCTCCTGACCCTGGTGGGCACATAGTAGGTGTTCATTGGGCCCATTCTTACCTCTGCCAGGAAATGCACCTCCCTGTAAGTGGGGCAGGACAGGACCACATGAGCACTTTGGTCTTGGGGACATTTTCACCTCTTAGAATTAAGATTCAGAATTTAGTGACTGACCAGTGTTGAGGGACATCAGTTGGGCAGACATCAGGCTTCTCATGTGTGGCTACCCCTCCTCAATCTGCAGCAGCATCCAAGGACATGGGGAAGACTTGGAGCCCTTTGGATGCCTGGAATCTGATACAAAGAGGTGTCTTTGAGGCCTTGCTCTCAGAGATAGGTGGCAGACACAGTTCCATTGGCTCTTCATTCTCTTTCTCTCTCCCTGGAAGTATGGTAGAGCAACGTTGTGACCACAAAAAAGGGCCACCCTGGTGCCTTCCTTACAAAGTCCTCTCTGGCTGCCAGCCCAGAGTGAAAAATTAGCCAGGTGGCTAGAGAGACATGGCAGAGGACAAGTATAATCAGACAGGCTTTGGATGAATTTTTTGAAAGCCCTGTGTGATTGCTTTGGGTTGGTCCTTAGAGAAATCTTGACCCAAAACTGCATCCATTTCCCCACCAAACTCATCTGCCAGGACAGCCTG